AACGCGATGTAACTGGCGTCGTTAGCATCGCAGCCGTCAAGAGCTTTATTCTTCTTGCCTCGTCGTCCGCTGGCAGTGATGAGATGACTCTCTTCGTTACCAGTGATGCTCAGTTCTGGCACCGAGCCATGTTCCCCACGGACGACAGCCATGACCATTCCCACAAGATCAACCAGGAAGCTTACACGGTCCTCGAAAGCACCAACTACAGCATTCAAGTCGACGTGATGACTTCTCACCCGTCCACCCCTATGGGTGTCATCTTCACCAGCAACTCGAACGGTACATACTTCACAGAGAACATTCCGTACACTAATCGCAATGTCAAGGGCCACGTCGATTTCGAGAAAATCAGCGGAATTCAAGGTATCTTCCTGGTCAACACGGTTGAAAACGGCAAGGATGTTGATGCGAAGAGCGCAAAGAAAGTTGTGGTGACACAAATCACATTTGATGATGGAAGAACCTTTGAGCCAGTCAAAGCTGGACAAGACCGCATCCACCTACATTCAATGACAGACATTGACAATATCGGCCGCATCTTCTCGAGCCCGGCTCCTGGTCTTGTTATGGGCAATGGAAACACGGGCGCCGCACTCGGCGAGTTCGAGAGTTCCAATCTTTATGTTTCTGACAACGCTGGCGTGTCATGGAAAAAGGCGCTCGAAGGTCCTCATAAATATGAGTTTGGTGACACAGGCGGTATCTTGGTCGCTGCCAGAGATTCTCTAAAGGAGGACGTCGATAAGATTTCCTTCTCCCTGGACTATGGAGAAAACTGGGAGTCCGCCCCACTCCCTGATGGCTTAAAGGTTAGGCCTGTTATTCTGACAACTACTCAAGACTCGACAAGTCTCAAGTTTCTGCTTGTTGGCGAGAAGGACAGAGCTTTTCACATGATCGCCATTAATTTTGAGGGCATGGAGAAGCGCACTTGCGAGAGTAAGGACATGGAGTCATGGTATGCACGTGTTGACGACAAGGGAGCGCCAACCTGCATCATGGGTCACAAGCAGACATACAACCGCCGCAAGAAATCGGCGGATTGCTTTCTCAAGGCCGACTTCCGTGACCCTGAACCTGTCATCGAGAACTGCGAGTGTACCGATGCCGACTTTGAATGCGACTACAACTTCCAGAGAGACCCTGATGACAACATGGTCTGTAAGAAGGTTGGGCCAGTTCCTATTCCAGAAGGCTCTTGTAAGGGCAAGGATGAGACCTTCAAGGGATCGTCCGGGTGGCGCCTTATTCCAGGAAATACATGTACTCGAAAGAGTGGCGCTCAGAAGGATGACCCGGTTGAACGCAAGTGCTCCGATGGCGGCAGTCCCGGTGGCGGTTCGACGCCTGGTACTCCAGCCAGCGGTGAAATTTCGCTCAAGATCAATGAGTTTACGGACATCAAAGGCCAGGACATGCAGAAATTCTACCTCATGGGTCTCGAATCTGAGAGTCCCACCAGCGAAGTTGTTATTGCTCGACCCATTGGTGATAAGCTACCTGGCGGTAAAGTCGAAGTGGAAAACAAGCTATGGATCACAGATGATCACGGCAAAACTTGGAAGCGCATTCTTGAAAAGGAGAATATCTTGGGACTGATTCCTCATACCTACTTCAGGGAAGTCGTCTTCTTCCATACAGATTCTGAAAAAGTCATCTATACGATTGACCGCGGTCATAGTTTTCACAGCTTTAAGACGCCATTTTCTGATCCAGGTGCCGCGATGAGTTTTCATCCAGACAAGAAGGACTGGATCATCTGGATCGGAAAGCGGTGTGGTGATGTTGCGGGTAGCAAGGATTGTTACCCTGAAGCCTCAATCTCAACTGATCGTGGTGACAACTGGAAGACTTTGCAACGTTACGCGACCAAGTGCGAGTTCACAGGAAACTCTGCCTTCAAATTCCGCGCCCAGAAACAAATTGTCTGTCTCGTTCACAAGGACGAGAACACTGACAATCACAAAACCATTGTCACAATTGAGGACTTTTCTGAGGACGACAGGATTTTCCACAACGGTACGGTTGCGGCGTTTGCAACTATGAATGAGTTTATCCTCGCCACGGATGAGGTTGTTGAAGATGGCAAAGAGAGCGCCGGCCTGCAAGCCATTGCTAGTATGGACGGAAAACATTTCGAAGCAGCCCAATTTCCACGCAACTTTCACGATTCTCACTCATCATTGTACACTGTTCTTGACAGCTCTAACCACGCCGTCAACCTATTTGTCGCCACTGATCTTTCCGAAGGCCGACGACGCGGCTCAATAATCAAGAGTAATTCTAATGGTACAACATATGTTCTCAGCGCACCCAACGTCAACTCCGACGAACTGGGTTACGTGGACTTTGAAAAGGTCGCGGGTCTTGAGGGCGTCACCCTTATCAATTCTGTTTCGAACCCCGATGACAAGAACGGAAAGAAGGTGATTCAGACAAAGATTTCGCACAACGACGGTGCCGAATGGGGTTTCCTCCCCCCTCCATCAAAGGGTGCAGATGGCAAGTCTTATTCATGCAGCTCCTCAGGTGATAGCAAATGCGCTCTCCATCTACACCACTACACAGAGCGAGAGAATAAGGGCAGAACTTTCTCAGCAAGCACCGCTGTTGGCCTGATCTTCGGCTATGGAAACGTTGGACCAAGCCTTGGAGATGTCAAGGAGGCCGATACATTCATGTCAGCTGATGGCGGAATCAACTGGAAGAGCGTTAAGAAGGGTGTATGGACGTGGCAATATGGTGACCAGGGTTCGATCATTGTACTCGCACAGCGTGCTACCCTCGCGAACAAGATCAAGTCAAATATTGTCTCTTACTCAACAGACGAGGGCAATACTTGGACGGACTACAAGTTCACCGACAAGGAAGTGACTATTCAAGACTTGACATCTGTCCATAGTGGAACTTCCCGAAACTTTTTGGTGTGGTACCAGACAGATGATAAGAAACTCTTCGCTGCCAACCTCGATTTTACAGGACTCACAAATCAGCCCTGCAAGTACTCCGATGATTCTTCTTCAGATTACGATCTCTGGTCCCCTAAACATCCCCTCCAAAACGATGACTGCCTTTTCGGACATAAGGCCAAGTATCTGCGAAAGAAGACGGATCGCAAGTGCTACAATCAAGCAAGCATGTCACGATTGCGAGAATATGAAAACTGCGAGTGTACCAGGCGAGATTTTGAATGGTAAGTGTATGACAATTGACATGCTCGAGAATATAAACTAATAATTTGCAGTGCATATAACTTCGAACTAGACAATCATGGACAATGCACTCTGGTTCCAGATCATGATGCCATCTCGGGCGAGGAGTGGTGTAAGCAACATCCCAACGAGACATCCTACTTCGACCCTACAGGTTATCGCCGCATCCCCTTGACCACCTGCGAAGGTGGCCAAGAGCTGGATAAGACCTCCACAGAGCACGCCTGTGCAGGACACGAGGAGGATTTTGCACGCAAGCGTGGCACTTCAGGCTGGGCTATTTTCTTTGCTATCATCATCCCCATCGGACTGGCAGCCGCTTTTGGCTGGTATGCTTGGCGCAACTGGAGCGGCAAATTTGGACAGATTCGACTGGGTGATAACAGTGCAACCTTTGACAGCGAGCAACCTTGGATCAAGTATCCCGTCATTGCCATCTCAGCACTGGCAGCTGTTGTTGCTGCCCTACCACTAGTCTTGACCTCCATATGGCGATCCGCCACTGGAGTCTACGAGCGTGTATCAAACCGAAGTAGGGGAGGCAATTGGTCAAGACGGTATACCACACGCGATAGCTTCGCCCGAGGACGGGGTGACTATTCCATGGTCGACGATGACGAGGGTGAGCTACTCGGTGAGGAGAGCGACGAAGAGGTTTGAGCAAGAATGTACGAGCTACGACGTGAACCAGGACTGTACTATGATATGGTGTCTTATTGGGGGAACTTTTTTGTGTGCCGAAAAGATGAATGCGATGGAATGATGCGAGCGTTTTGGTAAGAAGAGAGGACTAGTAGTATAGCAGGAGAAACAGAGCAGAAAGGCAGACAGACAGACATACATGGTATAATTATTACTTCAAACGTGCCATGACTCCGTAACTCACTTCACGCATAAGAACGAGACACACTTGTCGTCGCATAGGGTATGATCTTACTCATCATACTACAGCTCTATTCCCCTGGAGATCGTGCTGACATTCATCATTCAGCTCAGGCATGCCAGCTAAGACTTGCATGAACTATCTGAGGCACAGACAAGGAGGTAGTGGCCGGAAGTGGATATTCGTTCCGGTCATTTCTTGTGCGAAAAAATCATGGTTTGGTGACAGATGCACGGGTATCACACTTGCCGTGTGATATATCCGTGCTGGCTGCATGACAAAGAATTTAATTGCTTGGCTGATAACAGATCATGTTATAACCTCTAGTGGACTGGGATAAGGCTCTCGAGATATTGCACGAATAGTGTAATTGAAGGATTTCGACAACTATGACAAGTCACAGAGGCACTATTGTGTTGCAGTTCATGTCACTAAGTGGTATTGTACAGATAGAACCATGCAGCTCGGAGCTATATGCCCATCATATTTGATTTATTTTTGCAATTCCAATCCAGCTTGCGCCATGCTTGCCATGTTGCAGTCTGTAAGGAAGACTTTGCTCTATTCATGTGTTTAATGCCACTGCGGTCAAGATTATTTCTCAACACAACGAAAATGCCAAATATTACTCCTTCAACTCCTTCCATTGAGTAACCGAGACTGCTTTGCTCATGTAATGCCTGTATATGAACTGGACCATAGCAAATGCGATGTAACGACAGGTCTAAGATAGCAATTAAACGATTTGGGGTATTTGATAGTAAAGAAAAACAAAAGAATGTATGAGACAATGCTTGCTTCCCAAAAATTGATAACCAATACATGAATTTTTATATAAGCTGGAACGCAAAGGTGCTGGTTGCACCATTGCAGGTGGCCGCGCTGTGGCGCTGTGGCTCGGACTATGACCGCTTGACCCGATTCCAGAATCTTTTCACGGTGCGGTTATCATGACCGACAGGATCTTCCCACTGGTCAAGAGCAGCGAGCTGTCTTTCAATGCTCTGTTTGGGATTGCCTTCCCGAGCGTACAATGCTGGGCTAGGTGTGTGATCTCCACGGCTTGAGCTCACTCGGCTACCAGCCTGTTTCCAGCCATAGATCTGATCCTCGCTTTGGCGAAGATCTGGTCGTGTCAAGGTCATACGAAGTGTCATTTCTCGGCTCGCTGCTGGGTCATATATAGATTTCTCTCCTCTTGAGTATGACGAGTGCTCGTTGCTACTTCGTAGAGATCGAATATGCGGTGTCTTGTCGAACAATTGAGGAGTTTTTGGAGAATCAGGCTCAGCTGCAGAAGCGTCGTCGCTGTATCTTGATGATCGATCATCTTCTAGGAAGCTTCGCAATCTGTCCGGGTCGTATGCGGAGGCCTTGTTAAATCCCGTATGTGGCCGGGGTCCATCTTTGGAGGAGAATCCAAACTCAATGGCCTCATCAAATTTCTGGGGCGAAGCGAGATAAGCTCGAAGCTTCTTTCGAGCCTCAGGGTCTCGATAATGAGCGGCAGAAGGGTCGAGGGGTGGGGTCAAAGGAGAGGGAGAAGCCAAGGGTGTTTGTCTGTTGGCAGATATCAATGACAGCGCGCGAGCACGAGATTTCTTCCGCACATGGCCAGATGAGCCAACACTGGAGCTGTGCGAGGCAGACGGCGGTAGAGTGGTGGGGGAAGCAGGGCCTTCTTCAAGTCCATTGACAGAGGGTTTTCCAAAGGGCAGCTTATTAATTGATAAGTGACGGCGAAACGATGGTCTTCGGCTCTTGTTTGGAACCGGTATTTCTTCTCGCAGGTTGATGTGATAGTCATCAAGATATAGACGTAGATCCAACCCCTCTTCATCGTCAAGCCATCGGAAACTGTCATAGAAGGAATCTGAACGCTTGATATCTGAGCTCGTCATGGCTCTGTCATTTTGCCTGGACAGCATACCCGAGAACGGGGACGTTCCTTCAGACAGTCCAGGACTTGGGAGTGGCGACGGCATTTTGACCTCTTGAGGTGGAATATCGACAGTATTCGATACTGCTTCTGGCGCGTAGGTGAAAGTGTTTTGTGACTTATACGCCAACTGGAGCTCTTCCTCAGTAAGATGGCGGCGTTTTATCTTCTCAGGAAGGTTGGCGTAGAATTTCTGGTCCGTTTCAGTAATTCGTGGACGATCTGTGCGCAAGATAGAATCATCCGAAGTAATGGGCCTTTCTTGGTGCTCGTAGCTCCCTCTAGGTTTGGGGAGCGATGACCAAGGAGAAAGAAGTTGATCTTGTCCGACACTACCGGGCCGTTGACAGTTTCCCAGGTCGGGTGATTGAGCTAGTTGCGATCGCTCGATAGTTGAGAAGTACTGTCAAAGAGAAAAGTTCAGTATGAGGCACCAAGGAAACACAGCTAATATAGCAATTAAATAGAGCAAACATAAAAATGTAGATAAGCCATCAAGGGGCAGCCCTGATTCTTAAGGTACCAGAAAGAGGGGCGGGAATGGTTATTGTCTCAATTCAGGAACGGAATGGCAGAGCTAATGCAGAGAGTCGTTGACTAAAAGGCTCGTGGGGCACGACTCGAATGTCTTGGGTGTATGACGCCTGGTGATTGCTGGTACACAGGCACGTTGGTGCACTGGGTGGCATGGATCATCCAGGAACTGCACGTCTAGGGCGTCGTCACAACGCCTTGGGTTGGGGGGACGTGATTGCTGAGCGAAAGAGAGCACTTTCTTGCTCCTGTGTGCTCTGTATTCAGGGGTTGCGTAGACAAGCCATGGGAGAATCGACCAATGACTAGTCACTGAGCGGACGAAGTGCGTGGAGCCGCCCAAACGGCTACCGCGAGCCAAACCAGACAGGGCAAGGACAGGACATGGGTATTGGACAATGGCTTCTTTTAGCGATTCCTGATGGTTCCCCGTTCCTCTCGAGGTCCCTGGGGGTTCCTCAATTTGACAATTAGGCGGCGACTAGCCCCCGGCACCTGCAAGAGGACCCATATTCAGACAGGTACATAGAGTACAGTAGACTCAACCTCGCCAAGTCATATTGATTTCGTACAGCCAAAACCCATAAACTAACGCATACGAGGTGGGCAGAGACGCTTGTCGCAATGTGAAACCTTGTTTCATTTGAAAAAGCAAAGGGTGATGAGGACTGCAGTGGCATGAGAAATCGATTGATCGCATCACCAAGGGGCCTCAAACCTTCGCCTGCTTTGACTCCCTTATGGTAGTATCGAAACAGACCGTGAGAAACAAAAAATGGGACACACGGCAAGGGATCCGCAAAATAATGAAAGCCACGAACTTACTTTTCGTTGAATTGTTGGTGGAAGAGCCTCGAATTCTTGTCTTGTAATGGTTGCTGATGGTCGATTTTCTGTGGTAGGAGGCTGGACATCAGAAGATACCCTCTGGTGTTTTGAAGCAGTGGACGCAGCAGCGCTTGGACTACGTCGCCACTGAAGTAGGTGACTGCGGGAAGATGATGGACGGTGATCTGCTGCGAGACTATCGTCGGGGAAGAGGCACTCTGTATCGATTTCGCTAAGCAAGTCATGGTATTGCGAGTTGTGTCGCAGATTATCGGTATCATGATTTGTCTCTGAATGTATTCGCAGCTCGATCTGCTCCTCTTCCGCCCAGGCGCGATACAAACTGTTACTGCACGTTGGTTCATCCTCTGTGGGCGTCACGTCTGTAGTTGCAATGCTCATGGGTCGAGATGGCAGCAAAAAGCTGTGATCACCAAGGCCTTGGCTTTGATCGATGGCGCTGGTATCCGTAGAACCGTTAGTGTCGAGCCTTGTGGGAACACGGCGTTGGCGTTGCGGCTGCAGTGGTGTCTTTGGGCGCTGTAGAGAATGCATGGTTTCGAAAATGGGTGTGTACACATGCGAGGGTTGTGCATGTATGCGGCTCTTGTTGATGTGACTCGTTTGATGCGGGTAGTGGTGCAGAGGCCTAGGATAAAGAGGTTGAGATAAACTTGCAGAACCCGAGGAGAGAGTCTCGTTGTCGAAGAAGCTCATAATATCATCAGGACGGCCTGGGCCCTGGCTATTAACGCTGCCGCTATCTCTTGCATTCATGCTATTGCTGTCGATAGCCACCACTGCTTCAGCTCGATTTGGCCATTGATCCTCGTTCCATCCCAGGGTCGAATCCAACGCTGCAATTCCATCACCCTGGCTCATGACGAAGTCAAGTTGAGAGTTCGGCTCGTGCTAGAGCTGCGAAGCAGGGTTGTCGAGATTTGGCGACAGGGAGTGGTGATGAGGCCGAATAGCTACCTAGTGACTGCTGATCATGAGGCAATCGGAAAGGAACGGCGATGCAAGGTCCACTGCTGTCAAGCCGGCCCCCCGCAGGCACCGTTCCTAGACTCCTCGTCCCTTACCTTGGGGATGGGATTGACACTCGGCTGACAGTGTCTTACCGGTAGACGAGAGCCGATCGAGGTCGAAGGTTTGCAAGGAAGGGAGAGTTGCAGTAAACAAAGTGTCGATTCGGGAAGAGTCGATACGAAGGGTAGATCGGAAATGGTGGAAGATGCTATTATTGCTCGTGCCTCGTCGATATGCTTCAACGGTCAAAGCATATCATCATAAGCGAATGCAATTCCCGAGGACTCGTTGTAAAAGTGCCGTAAATAGAGATCAAAAAAGGGCAAGCACGGCTTCAATTTTGGTTAAGCGGGTACAAGAGCCAAGCCTCAACTAAAAAGTAAGGTACAGCACAGTAGTGAGTGGCAGGCACGGAATTTGCCAATTGATGGAAGGGTCAGCTCGAATTAGCTCTCAGCAACGGTGAGAGAACGTTAGGGGTGGGAAAGTGTCTGAGGCAATAGAGGAATCGACGATGTGACTTTGGCGTCAAAGGTTGTTAGGTTGGCGTCAAAATGCGTTGTCGTACCTGAGGAAGTGCACATATCATGCAATTGGAGATGGAAGAAAGAGAGGAAAAGAAGAAGGAAAAGAAGAGGTTCGGTCAACTACGGATGCCTAGTCCATACATAACACAAAATTCTAAGTAATAATACTCCGAAGACTTAACCAAACCTCAGTCCAAAGGTCGCGCCGTTCCGTGCCGCCGTGCGTCGTGGTGTCGTGTGCTGCTGTGTCGTGTCTTAATGGGCGTCAGCTCCGGCATCGAGACCAAATTCGTATGGGACGAGTCCCTAGCGAGCAGGCATGGATGGGCACGACCGCTTTCTGCTCAGAAATCACGGCGGTGCTTCAGAATATGTCGATGCCCGTCCCATCACCATCAACCTCGATCCCTGTAGCTTGGCTTAACGCTGTGCTGTGCTGTGCTTGCTGTAGGAACTGGACCCAGCTCCCTGGCTAGGGGAGGAAAGAAAACACAGGACCCTAATCCTAGATGACAAAAAGACTTAAGTAATATAGCCTATATTTAGAATGACTTTTGCTGAGTTTATTTTGACATCCTACAGTAAGGTCCGCTGTTTTCTTGCCCCCCAAGGGCCTGGCAACACCACAACAGTTGACGAGGTGGGTTCATGAACGGTGAACCCACCTCCCAAGACCCAACCCAAAAGCCAATCTGCTTAGCCTTTGGGTCTAGCAGTGCAGCGGAGTCCCAAGTTTCCGGGCACAGAGCTCGATAAGCCAACCTCCATTGGGCCAAGTGCAGCTATAATCTGCACGGTACCTGACTTGGTGTGTTTATGCTGACATTCATTCAGGCGCCGTGACCGGACTGTCTCGAATAGTCTAGCAGTTCTAACATTGGGTATCACCAAGGCTTTTAATAAGTCAAGATAATTCGTGCTGGAGTGGGACTTCAGTCTGGGGGTCACAATCGAGTGAGTGATCGAGGGTGAAGCCGCTATTCTACCCCTGAGTTGGTTTAGTTCATTTCTGCGGCACTGGAGTTTATGCCTTGAAGACCGCAATTCATCGGACTTCTTCCATCGCCTCCACAGTTGGAGGAAGCAAGTAGGCAAGACGGGAAATGTCGACGGGAGGGTCACACCTGAAGCGACCTAAAAAAGGAAACATCTGCAGATCCACGTTTCTTGGTTCCATTATGATATAGACGTGTTCAGCTAAGTTTCCGATACGCACCGTAGGCGCATCATATCATGCCTTGTTATTATATCGACAGCGAATAATGACCATAATAGTCAGCATAACTAACTGGTGTACAGCTCACCGGTGCGCCTTGGTGTGCCAGGGTAACCTTACCACCTCAACTCTACATATGATAAGAGTTCACGAAACCCAGTGACTGTTTATTATTAGTTGTCCCCGCGTAGCAATCTGGGTAGACATCGGCTGCTTGGTACCGATCAATATAAACCTGTCGGTCTATCCACCTTATTTCCAGCTCTCAAATTCATCACCCCCACAAGGGACCAAGTTAATGATTGCAATCACCTGCCTGCTTGAGGCATTGGTAGTGCCCATCACTTCCAGATATTTCTTAGCTCACACAAGTGACAGATTCCCATGCAACGCTATCATACTACGGCGAGCCAGGGCTGATATCTGACAAGCAGGGTACGTCGCTGTTCAACATGTTTTAAGCGACGCCTAATACCACCCGTCACAAGCCAACTCACTTCACAGTAAGACCCTTGAAGCGCTCCGCCAGATTGACTTTAATCCCACCAACCAGCCATATCGCTTTGGGAATCTGACCCGAGTTTGTAGCATTTCTTCTGAAGATCTCTCGGAGAGCCCGCCGAGTAGCGCAGGTCGACAATATGACAGGCTGTCTTTGGATGATATCTTGCTCAACCAGCTCAGCTCAGAAACAAGCCCCTGGAACATACATTTGCTGTGCCGCATTCAACCCTGATTTTGGTTCAAACCAGCTATCACGACGCTGGCTTTTGGCTGTCCGCTGTCCCTGGTAGCATTCGGAAGCTCCGTAGAAGCGGTAATGTTGGCTCTGTTAAAGGGGCTCGGCAGTTACGGATCTGGATCCTACGAATCCTAACCTCCTGCTACCAATGATGCCGGTGACACGAGTACACGTTGTCACGCATACTTTTGGAGTTGACTTTGCCCTAGGTTGCTCAGAGTGTGTTTACGGAGATGCTATGGTAGTATACAGTTTCAACCCATGGCCGGTACAACAGGCACAGGGTCCTTATACGAAGTACAGCTGTTTGAGACTGCAAGCACTACCGTATTGGTAGTCTCCTTGTCCCTTACGGAGTATGTATCGAATACTTCTTTAAGTCTCGGGGATTTTCCATCTTGATCTCGAGTTTCGTACCTGATCCGGGAGGCATGGATCTTGTAGAGGTCCTGGACCTGTCGGCAGTCACCACTTAAGATGTCATATCGAAGTCAATGCATTCTCGGCGTCCGCGTAGGTCCGTGGAATATGTTTCCTCCACAGTTGAAACTCTTCCAAGACCTTGGGAGGACTCTACCTAGGGGGGGGGGATAAAACACGAGACTGGATTTGGTGGTAGATCGGTGGATTTTGGTGTAAGCCAGTCTCATGTATTCCCCCCCCCCCCCCGAGGTCTACCCAGTTTGTCACCGGGTTGTGGGATTCGCCCTACGGGAAGATAACAAGCTCAAAGGTTCGATCACGGATCAAACACCGCATATGTACTAGAAACATGATGCGGTGTAGGGAATTATGGAGTATGTTTCTATCGTCGATGGAGATAGTGTATGTAGACTAGTTGTGCTACATCGACCTGAAACTGTTTGGCGGAGTGTGGATCGCGGCGTACGGAGCACAGACGATGCGATGCAAGCTTCAGGCTTCGCTTCTCAGCGCCACAACATGCGGTCTGATTCTGTCGTGCATATGAGATCCATCATACACGTTCCTTGGGAGGTCCATGGTGGAAGAATGGCTCCATCTTCCGGTGGAAGGACCAACTATGAACTGTTTACGAGATGCACCAGTGCACGACGAAATCCCATCGTAGGGTTAAACAGGGTGTTCCCGGTGTGTCAGATAGAAAACAAGGTCTAGCTTCTGAACTAGATGGCGTGTTGAGGAGGCAAAGGGGACTCTCAGAAGGAATCACGCAAGGTGGAGGGTGCTTTTTATCGAGGAGGTCGGAGTCAGCATTGGCCAATGAATCTTGTGTACTTTTGAATTTAGTCGTATGCCTGAACTCACAGACAGGTATGGTAGCACAAGAAACCTCGATCTCGCATCTGGAAAGGGGCGCCGTTGTGGCTAAGTCAACGTCTGTCAAAGAGACTGATTCATAGTCATGTTCTCAGGTCTATCTACCCATAAGCTCACTGGTGAAGGAGTTAATGGGGCCGATCGAAAGTACATTATTCACTGATATAACAACATTCTTATTGGCCATATAACTACTATTTAATGTGTCAACGTCCCAAACCTACTTCCTACGTTATATCGTTGAGACACGTGCTTGATTGTTCGTTGTGTAAACTAAGACGCGTCGTGTCGTTCATTGGCTGAAACACGGTCATTCGCATCCACCCATCAACTGCTCCGAGCCAATTATAGAGCTTACAGGACGACACATTGGGCTTCAGCCTCGAGACAACCTCAGCCTTTCTTACCTCAATCAACATTTCACTTCATTTTCAGCCTTTCTACTTCAACTTTAGGCGACTTCGCGGACCGGGTAATAACTATAACTGAATCATTGTGTACCTACCTGCATTGACTCATCGTGCTTCTTATTCTGATGTAAAAACTTCACTTCCAACATTGTTTTTTTTTTCGAAGTATTCTTTCTTGATACCCCATACTACCACCGATGACATCGGAAAAGATGCCGCTCATCCTGGATAACCCGATGCCAGTGGAACTTAACGATGTAGATGACCTTTTTGGCGATGGCGTTGGTCTGTCTTTGCCCGCGAGAGCGCAGAGTAAACAGCTTCAACAAAGAATGGACGATATCAGGATTCGAGGATGTTGCCAGTAAGAAGGCCCAGTTTGCAGACACTTATACACGTTTTCGCTAACCCTGGATAGAACTGTGGCGTGGTCAAGAACAGGATCGATCGCCAACATCACACCTGATGGCCAGAACCTTGAACTTCGCTTTCTGCGACGCTCCCCAGATGATGGATCTTGGGATCTCAGTGAACCCACCACGTGCCCCTTTGTCAAAGGGCTCCCAACCATTCCCATCGTTCACTTGGTATGGGCTGGTACTAGCAGTCCAGATCTAGCGGTGATAGATGCCGTCGGTCGCGTCTCTATCGTCAGC